CATCTTTAAAACACTCTTCTGTTCCCCCCCCCCCATAACGACTTTTGTCATTTTGATGTTCCTCTCCCTATGTGAAGCCTAAAGTCAAATAAAGGGCTAATGTTGACTATCATTAATCCTGCTATTTGATATAAGTAAATATCGATGTAAATTTTAAAATTTTTTTCTGCTAGGTAGTAATATACAATAGCACTTTGGAAACTGATTATAGAGTAGACTCAACTGTAAACACAAATTTTTATTTTATTTAAACAAGATATTATTGATTTCTCTCAATCGAGTACATTAAATGGCCCGCTGGTTTCGATTTAACACAGCGCCCAATCACATTGTTTTGAACTGAACAATAACGCTAAACACGAAGCTCTCAGTTAAAATTAATTAGCTTGAAACGCATTTCTTTATGTTCAACTGGCAATGGCCATTTCGGTTATTTAATTTTGGCGATGAGGTAAAGGGGAGGCATTCCTTGAGGTTAAACTCTCGGATTCATATGTTTGCCAATTCTGAATACTTGCTGCTGGGCTATACTGGCTGGCTGTTAAATGGCATTTGAAATCTATCGAAACCGACCCATGATATTTCGGTGAACCAGGATCTTGCAGAAGAAATGAACCGGATAATGAACCGTGACAACTTACAATTTATTTATTATTCCTCTATAGATACTTAATGTAGAGTTTTCGAGAGCGGAATATTTTGTTACTTTTTCACTCCTTTGAAGGAATAACCTATTCGAGTAAACCTGGTGACAATTGATGGCATACGGCTCCAATGAGAATGTTCTTAGGCCTCGGTAGGTTATGCATAATGCCAAGAAAACTATTCACACAAATGGCCATTGAATTAGAAACTCGTGAACGTAAATAGTACCTCTCACGTAATACATGATCATGATTTATCCAGGGGGTAGTTTGAGGCTCGATTTCAGTTCATTCTCACTTTTCATGGCAGCAAGCTTGATGATGTTCTCAACTCTATCTGAGCCACGCTCATGTATCCGATATGAGTTTTATTTAAGATTACAGAACATATTAGTGTTAGTGCATCAGACGGCAACCGCTTTTATGTTTCAATTATCACTTTAGTTACTGAAATTACGATTTCAAATAAATTGAAGTGGGAAATTTTAGTGAATCGTTTACAAATAATTATTTATTTATATCAAATAGCAGGCGTTTTGATAGTTATCATTAGCCCTTTAGTTGACTTCAAACTTCACAGAGAGGGAGAAACATCAAAGTAAAAATAATCGAGCTTGGTGGTGGGGGGGGGGGCAGAAGAGTGTTTCAAAGATGTAAAAAAGACAGACACAAAGGTCGAGAGTAGGGTAAGGCGAGTACTGTGGAAGTGGTCGAATATGACATACAGTGGGGTCATGATAGCTTGAACTCAAAAGTCAACTGCCGGTTTATATTCAACTTTTTTGCCGCATGAGTATACGTTGCCCAGGGTGCACCACGTGGAGGTAAGTCAATCGCGCACCCCTCGTCTAAAATATTTGTGTGCTTTAAATAATAAACTCGTGATGATTCAAATGCCGCATAATAAATAGTTTGAGTGTTTAAAAGTGAGCGATTGCTTCCCAATAAAGCTAAAGGCTTTCAATGATTATCTCAAACACTAAACTTATGGCCAATGAGAAAACTATCTTGAAAATAGTATAGCAGAAGTTTTAGGGGGTAGATATTCTGCCGTTAGTAGAGAGAATCAGACAAATTATAGCATAATCTGAAAGCATTACCATTTTCGATTAATTTTGATGTAAGTTCTTAGAAATGACTTGATTATTGTTAATTTCAGCAAAATGTTTAATTTTACTGCTTGAAATGACTATTTTTTTTGTTTGTAAGGAACCATAAAAAGCACTTTATTGTATACAATTTAATATATTTTTGAAATATTACACACGGCTCATTAATTCACTATCGAGAAAGTCACTGATATACGTATTATTCTTCAATCGATATCTCCGCAACATCATCCATGAATTGTGTTCGATGAGGTTGCTCCCTGTTTCGATGGCTATGTGGGTAGACGTGGTTGAAACTCGGTGTCCGCTCAGCTTGTATATTGGTCTCATTTTCAACTTGATCACCTCCCAGACCCTTCTCGATTTGATCGATTTGCGAGTCATAGTCGCCAGAGCCTCGTGAAAGCGAAGGATGATGTCGGGAGCGAAGACGGGAGAGGGTACGATGGGGTCCATGTTCCCCGGGTTGCTGTCGAGATTGTCGTTCATAGAGAGAGAATGGTCTAGTTCGTCGTGAATTACTATTACCTCCTGTACCTCCGATCTTGGCTGTCGCTTGACGCGCTTGACTGCCAAAGGAGAAGAAGGGGGAGAAGGAACCACGGGTAGCTACTGCCAGGGTCATTCGACGACCAGATATCTTTTTTCTTCGACCTGAAGCCGATGTTTGAGATGGATCAAATAGGCCTATTGCTGCAGATGACTGAAGCTAAATAAAAGAAAATATTGCTGTCTCAATGAATGCTCAGTACTCATTGGAAAAAATTGGATTGAAAAAGAAACTTATGGGAAATATTGTATTGAATGACATAAAAGTTTCATCAGTATTTTTTATATCATGAAGCCTACTATTATCCGTTTTTAGGTGATAGGTTAAACTTTAATAAAATTATATAAGTTCCGAATGCACATTATGCACTAAAAACAATGGTTGGTGTCACTTATAAATTTTTTTAATTTCAAACTATTGGTAATACGTTAAATTACTCATGCCGACTATTTAACTCGCTACTTTTGTCGTTACAAATTAAAGTTTAAATGAATTCTCCCCCTCTGATTGGCTAATTTATGACCAGCTAATTAATGCCATTATTAATTATCAAATAATTGCAGATATTGTGCACAAAAAGAATAATTGCCACCTATGGGCGGAAAATGTGGCAAAGCTTATTATGCAAGGAGGGAAGATGGAAGTTAATGGGACATGTGGTTAATGATTGTTCAGGTATCCACTTTAAAATACATGGGGAATAATCAAAGTAGCAATAATTTGTAATTTGCCAATAAGTTGTGGATTGAATAAATGCTAGAGAATTCAATAGTGTTTTAATTTCTATCAATAGGTGTAATGGACAGCTGTCAGTAAACTCCTTCCTGCCTGCCTAGGTTTGGAATTTGGCCTACGGTGGCTGAAAAGTGGAATTTGCATGGGATCTAAATTCACCACAGTTACCCACAAGTTCTATATCTTTTAGGACACATGCACAAAAAGGTACATATCTGGACTTAAAGAAGTGGTGAATACATGAATGAATTATGCGTTGTTTCTTATGGAAAAATATAATAGTTCGTATTCTGTTGGAGATTTTATCTTGTTGAGAAAAAAAACAACATCCAAATTAGAACTAAATAGATCATAGTGACAAATAATTAATAGTCATCTATTCCTTGTATAAAATTTCAAATTTGTCCTCATTTTTCACATTCAGCGTAATTATCACCTTTAAACGATTTTGATATTTACTCAACCATTGGTTGCATATGAAAGATTGCAGAACCGTGTTCTCCAAGTAGGACCTATGCTTCCGGTAGCTGCTCACTCATGTACCCAGGTTCTCATTTTTGGATCGAATGACAATAAGTAGCAATGTTATCAAGGGCAAAGTTTTTTATATTTGGAAGATTAAAAAATACTATAATAAGATCAAATAGGGGAGATTGAAACAATTCTAGACTGCTTTATTGGTGTTCTAATAAGATTTGACGGTTGGTGAAAGAGAGTTTAAGAGGTGCCCGAGTTCTAAGGAACTACAGTTAGCCATTGTTGATCCCCAAATCGATAAACCGGTTAATGTCAGTGGAAGAGCAATTTCAAAGCATGAAATTTGAAATATTTAACTGTGTCAGTCACCTCTTTATTGCCATGGTAGCATTGTGGCCAGTAGAGGCCAAAATTTCATTACTCGCTACAATATCAACGCACATTTTAGTCTTTTCTGAAATCGAGATTAGTTTCATTTCGTCCTGTTATTAGAAGGCTAATAATTAACCCATAGAAGATGGAACGGATGGGATTCCTTCACATCACGCTCAGTTGAATTAATTTTAATGGGAATTAAATTAGAGCATCCTTTCTTCCCCAGAGCAAGCCTTCTTTGTCAGGCAAAGGCATTCCAAATTAAAGAGCAAGTGCTGTGTCTGAAAATACGATTTTAATTAAACGCTTGTGGATCTCATATCATTTGATTGCATGCATTTTGGTTATCTGATATGCACTAAATGAGTAAGTTATGTTCTAGCATTCAAATGTCATAATTCACCCCAATGATCATTTCCAATGCTTGTCTACATTGTTTGGGGCCTATTCGATGAGTGCCATATTCAATTCAGTTATTCATCCAATTGATTGTGAAGGAAAACGGTTCCTAGACTATATTCAGCAGCCTGTAGTTTCAACAGGATAGAGTTGAGATATAGGCACTAACTGATGATTATATTTTTTTTCAATTCCATCGCTATCATTCCAAATACTAAGTCGAGTTGAAATCTATCTATCGCAAAATGTGTCTAGAATGATGCTTCTAGCAAATGAATCCCACTTTTGTCAAATGAGTTTAGCCATTTACGACGCGCGTTATTTGGTGGCTATTGAATAATAATCATTGACGAAGTTATTACAGTGTTTGGTAATCATAAAATTGCCTCAAAATAACATAATTGAATAAGCCCAGCCTTTATATTATAGCAAAACAAATATTGTAAGAAAATAAGAAGGAATCAAACGCACGCCTTAGTTGACAACTGCTTGTCACTGTTTCATATTAATTATTAAAGTAATTATTAATCAATGTAATTTCGGATTATACTAATGCACATGCCAGTCGGTTTCTCCTGACATTGGATGAATATGAACTGATTTCTAGAAATACTAGGACAGAAATGCAATCAAATGTCAATCCTCCCTCTTGGACAATAGCATCTGGTACAATTTCTTTCGAAAAGATTTGGAAGATAGCTTCAAAAAAAATTTGATTCTCTTCTTTAACTTAATGAGATGTAAACTACAAATTTAGTCGTGTAAAATTCTCTCTGGTTATAGGACATAAATGCCATTGATAAAAGCATGTTCTCTCTTCTCCATCTACATTTTATGAGAGATGATTATTTCTACCATTGTTTTGATTGAAAGTCGCTTGATAATAACCTAAAATACGGCCTTATCATATCCCATTTCATCTGTGATTTGCGAAGTGGGTTTTCCTTGCTCAATATAGCGACGTCCTAGTCTTTTCACTCAATTCCTCTTCATGTTCCTCCACCCAGTGCAAGCTTTTATTTCCAATGTACTCGTGGGCCAACTTGCCTCTAAGCTTAGTCTTGTTATTGGTTAGCCCATTGATGGTTAATGATTCTATGGGGAGTTTTCTAGCCTAATTTGGTAGGATCTCTAAGGTAACCACACTAATAAATTAGATCTATTTTAATCTCCCATTGACCTCGTTTCACGACTATCCCTTTACTTTACAAATATATATTTTTTATTAAATCTTAAATCTCTTATTAAATCAGAATAAGGGGAATTTTAGATCCGTTTGTTTCTTTTCTTTTAGCAAACATTTGACCTCATTTCGAGGATTTTGGAAATTCTAAATTGGTTTGGTAAATCCTTCCATCGTATCAATGATTCGCAATTTAAAGGTTTTAACAAGAAATTGAAATGCTATCAATATTTTAAAAATTGCAAGTGCACCTTTGATCTCCAAAAATAACAGAAATCCTTTATTAGAGGAGTAAGGTCATGTCTGAATCGTTGAGGTTTTTAACAGACAATCAGTTTAGATCAGGTAAGGGAGGATGGTATGGGCAATGGTGTGCTCTAATACTAGATCTATACTTAATGCATCAACTTAATTGGAGCAATGAACCTGAATAAGGTTCTGACTTCTTAATCGTCGTGACACCCTTGATGTCGTTGTGACCTTCGAAGTCTCACCAATGTGGAAAAGGTTGTAAAAACACACGGATCACTGGTAGATCAAAGAATTGAACTATTTCCTGTTGAAATAACGAATGCACTAAGAGAGTGAGTAGAGCCTGTGGATATGGACACAGAGAAACAGAACAAAGCATATACGAGAACGCCATGATTAATTAGATTGATTTATTTGCTAAAAGTCTCACCGGCTATTTAGTCGCTGAAATACTGTGAAAGTAGCCGATCTAGATGATGAGGTAACTTCCAAGCAAGCAAATTGCATGGAGCCTACTTTTGCTTCCGTCCACCTATTCCCTTGAATTTTGTGTTCAAGCACTGGTATTCCATTACATTTACCACATTTTTGTTCTAATTAAGTCCTAATTCACTCTGTCAATTTACAATGCATTTATGAAAAATGCATGTCAATCGCTTGTTGGTCATACAACTTGCAGCAGCACTAATTCAGCAAGTTCTATTTATGGAGATCACTCTACTGTTTCACATCAATGATTCCATTTACCCTCTTTTTTGTTCAGGGTGTCATTGCTTACAGGGGAATATTTCCCTTTTATGGGCTCACAAAGTTTCTACTCTAGTGCACTTTTAAATAGGAACTAAAATGTGGTACAATCTAGAATCATTTCCTTTCAAGCCTTACTTGGGGATGTGTTAGTGCCTGGTCTAATGCATGCAACTAGACGACTATATGCTGTTTCAAGCATTCCTATACCACTTATCTCACTATATCCCCATATCGAGGTGTGCGATAGACTTACCTCTACATCTATCAACCGGTAGTTGACTTCTAACTTCAAACTACCACGACCTCACTGTATGTTATATTCGACCACTTTACAGTACTCATCTTACCTTTTCTTTCCTTTTGTGTCTGTCTGTCTCTTTTACATCTGTGAATCATTATTCTGTCCCAACTCTCGACTGTTTTACCACTTTGATGTTCCTCCATCTCTCTTTGAAATCCGAAGTCAGGTAAAGGGCTAATGATAACTATTAAAACGCCTGCCATTTGAAATAAATAAATATCCCCATATCAGTAATAAAGCAGTATTAGTTCGTTTTTTGAGGAATTGGTAGGAAGAGTCTTCGAGGTCACGACCATATTCCTGGCATGTTTATTAACCCTGGACAAGCTGCCGTCGTATGGATAGACAGCTGGCTTAGAGGGAAATGAAAGTGAGAAGGGGGAATGAAAAGGAAGGGGGAGGGGGGGGGGGAGAGTGTATTGAGAATTCAAGCATATTTAGTTGTCTAATTTTGAAGGGTTCCTTTTGATGCGTCCTGGATCCTGATTGACACCTCCTCCCCTCCATGACATCAGTGAATCAAAAGCCCTAGGGCGTTTTTCGGAACAACCCTAATTGCTGAACTTGGAGTGAGGTAGATTTAAAAAACAATTTCCAAATACTTGCGTCGCAGTTATAATTTAGGATATATATATATATATAATTTAATAAATCCAGCTACAGCACTTATTAGAAAGTTTATAACTGTTAATTTTGTAAGATATTTCCCAGGCATTTAATCAAATATGACAATTTCCGTGAGAATGTGAATTCTTCAACAGCGTGATCCTGCCCATTTATTAGACATTGAATGCGGCGAATGTAGTTCCTTAAGAGGGAAAATATTAATACTGGTTACTCTGCAACTGAAACGTTGAGAGTGTTGGAGTGGAGACGACAAAATCTCCTTGGAAAAATTCATACACTCCTTATTATTTTTCGTGATTGAAGGCGAAAAAAATGGGGACAGATATGTTCCCCTTTTTTCCTCACTTTAGAAGAGGTCAATGCCTTAAATCCCCTCAAATATTTCCTATAATGAAAGAGGTTTTCGATTAAAAAAACTGATATTGGGGGGTACAATGGAATTTTCAATGAAAGACTATGACAAATGCAAGAAAAAATTAGACGCTTTAGGTATCGTTTTATCAAACAAATCAAACTTCTAGAGTGGGAGGATAGAGAAATTGGTCTTGCGGGAATTAAAAATAAATTATATTACTTTCAGACAATGACATATTTCAACCTTGGACATTGGACACAAAGCATTGGCGGCAGTAATAGGCAGAAGAAACTTGTAAACAAATCCACTTATAGGAATTGTGGTCCCAAAATATCTACCATTTCAAATGCACAAATATTTTTCTCACACTAGTGTTAAGTGAGAAACATCGATTTTAGTGACCGTTTTTAGCAAATTTTATTAATATCCCATAGGCTTAAAAAACCTTAAACTTAAAAGTGGACTATTCTTAAAAGCGAAGAGGATTTCGTAACCCTTTATGCGGGCACTATCTTGTTGTAACATCTAACAAAGTCATAAAAATTTTTTTTGCTACTGACTAAGCACTAAGCTACTTCACGTCAGGAAATAAGTGGCAAATTAGACACCTAGAGAAAATGGGGGGGGGGACGATCGTTTGAAAAGCACGGTTTTCAGTCAGTTCAGCGCTTTGGCTTTTGTTTAAATGATAGTGGGAAAGAGGACGGTTATTGAAAGCATTAACCAATAATATCAATGCATTTATTGACCGTGGTCATTAGAGTCACATCGATTCTGTTTACACCAAATCTTCCATTTGACACGCGAAAACTCGAATTGGCAATCAAACATAATACCAGATATGAATTAGCTAATTGAGAAGCATTTCATTCAACCGAATAACTTCAGTCTTCCTACTAAAAATTTACTTTTATTAAACACTAAAAGTAATTCACTTCGTTCTAAAGGCTCGTTTTGAGACAATGATAGTTCTTTCAGTTCTAATTTTAAAATGGAAGACCTTCCACTCACCGTTGCTATTTGGAGGCATTGCAGAAGGTGCTTGTGCTGCTGTCTGATGATAATACGAGCCGTCTCCGTACTGGGAATACCCTTCAATACCTTCTCTGTCTGCAATGTTTCCAAATGCGATTCTGCAGGTTTGACGTCTTGACTTGTTTGGCTGGTGGCTTGTGAATTGTGTCCATCGTCAATAAAGAGTGACATGGTGGATTTCTCCACTTGCTGGTTCTCTGAAAGAGCCGAAAGACCATTGGGATTGCTGACTTCACCCTATAAAAAGAAGCAAACTTTGCTGAAAATTAGAGCAAATAAATCAAGGGAGTTTTCAATATTTTCCTTGATCGGAATGTAAGTTTAAAAAAAGCACTTAGAATGTGATTTGGTACACCAATATCCGACAAATATTTTTCGATTTATTCTTTTTAAATACCCCTTGAATCGCCTTTCTATACATGTGCGTATTCCCAAGTCTTTCGGAGATAATCGTTTTACATTAACGATCACCAATGACATAACTTATTTAGTTATTTATATCAAATGGCAGGCGTTTAGATAGTTATCATTAGCCCTTTAGTGGACTTCAGGCTCCACAGAGGGGAAGGAACATCAGAGTGAAAAAAAGTCGAGGGGGGGTGGAATAAAGAGACAGACACAAAGGTATAAAAAAGGTGAGGCGAGTAATGTGGAAGTAGTCAAATATGACATACAGCGAGGTCATGGTAGTTTGAAGTCAATTGCCGGTTAATAGACTTTTTCGCCGTATGAGTATACGTTGCCCAGGGTGCACCACGTGGAGCTAAGTCTATCGCACACCCCCAATGACTAAACTTATCTCTCTGTTTTTAATTTGAGCCATGTTTTGCCAACTTACTCCACAAACACCATTGATGCTTCGATCTCCATTCCGTTTCCCGTTTATACATTTAGTTGTATCATAACTAGTTTCTCCTCTCTACTAAACTCCTGGTATCCTGATTCAATATGGACTACTGTATTCTGTACGCTACTTGAACGAAAATGAGTTAATTAAAAGGGGGGTATTTTAGTAAAACTGAGTCGAGCACCAACATATCAGATGGCCGAAAGCTCCTGAGAGTATGACAGTGTTGAAACGCGTGGTTGGGCAAAATTAATAAAGTACCTGACTAAATTCCAATCAAATAACACCTACCGGAGTGCCACCAATATCAATGAAGGTTGAATTCCAGGCCTTTTGAAAACCAGGTCAATTAATAGTTGCTATTTACCCGCTATACAGTACGTTCAAGGGGTGTTCGATAGGCTAACCTCCACGTGGTGCACTCTGGGCAACGTATACTCAAAAGGCAAATAAGTCTATAAGCCGGCAGTTGATTACTGACTTCAAACTATCATGACCCAGCTGTATGCCATATTCGACTACTTTCACAGTACTCAACTTACCGCACCTTTTTCTCTATCATTATTTCTGTCTCTTTTACTTCTGTGAATCGCTCTTCTATTCCCCCTCTCCACTTTGTTGCTCCTAACTCCGTGAAGCTCGATGTCACCTAGTGGCTAATGATAACTATCAAAACGCCTGCCATTCGAAATAAGCATATAAATAAACAACGTGTCCAATCATGAATAGAATGCACAAAAAACTTGTGCAGTCTCTATATATCGTTTTATGCGAAAAAAATAGTTGCTCTATTTGTTCCTTTACATAATATACTTGCTTTCGGAGAATTCAGTTTTGTTTTAGCCAACTCATCCCTCAAAGTGTAAACCGTCTAATTTTAGTCAAAAATACGATTTCTGTTCACTCAACTCTCTTCCACCCCCACCCTCTCTCCATTACTTGGAACAGAATTGTTAGGGCAAATCCTGCCCAAAAGTATTTGCGTATTTTGCAAGGTCATTCCAATCTTCGGGGAGCACCCGCACATAATCGCAGTGGTCTTTCAAAACATAAAATCAACAGGAGAGTAATTAAAAGATGACCTCATGTTGGAAATGTGTGCGCGTGTGTGTGTGTTTAGGCTCTATGCAGATTTTTATGCTTGACCAGGTTAAATCAATAGCAGAATATCCTTTTTTTGAAAAAAAAACCAAAAATATTCTGCAACGATGCTGACAGATTTACGAGAACCGTCACGTCAAAGAAATGTACTCTTAAAATGTGGCTTAAAGAGGAAAAAGGCCATTGAATACACGAAACTATAGGTATTACTTAATTTAATTTTTTTACCTTTTAGTGGTCTGCGTTTGCCCATATTTGCAGGGAATTGCGTGTTTTACCATCTGGTCCAAGTTCTGCAGAAATACTAATAATTTCGCATCATTTAGAGAAAAATTATTCTTTTCCTTGGGTTAAGTAATGCCAATATGAAGTGGCATAGTTTGACAATGTGTTAATTGAATGAGACAACTTTATTTTAACTGGGGTGCGCGATAGACTTACCTCCACGTGGTGCACCCTGGGCAACGTATACTCATATGGCAGTTGACTTCTCACTTCAAACTACCATGACCCCACTGTATGTCATATTCGACTCATTTAGCCTTTTCTCTGCCTTTGTGTCTGTCTGTCTCTTTTACACCTGTGAATCGTTCTTCTTTTCCCCGGTCGAATTTTTCTCACTTTAATGTTCCTCCCTTCTGTGAAGCCCGAAGTCAACTAAAGGGCTAATGATAACTATCAAAATGCCTGCCATTTGAAATAAATAAATAAACTTTATTTTAACTGCATGAAACTCCCTCAATTCGGTCAACTAGTCAA